TCTGAAGTTATCCTGACAATTCGAGACTCTGAGTTTAATAAACAGTGTATAACTGGGTTTGGACTATCTTCGTTTCATTGTTTCCTGGATGTGATCTGCTCAGCTTTTCTCTATGACTGGTTGTGAGGATTGAGTGGAGTGAATTGCACTTTCAGTGTACCCTGTCATATCGCATGGTCAAGTCTTCCGCTGTGTTATCTCTCCCTGTGCGGTGTGATACTCCTATCCTCTCCCCTTCCTTCTGTATATGTATGGGCATACGTGGAAGTCCCTGTGAGTGAGTGTTGACCTTCAGGCAACAAACAACAAAAATCATAACAGTTGGTATCGGAGCAATTGGATCCAGACTCTGGAACGATTGATGAGTTGGAGCACCTATCATCATCAGGCAAGATACTGGAGTTGAGTCTCATGGCGATTCATCATCTTCAGGGTTGTTGTCTGTAAGGGTGGTGGCTGTGATTGTGTGGCGAGAAGAATTGGGCAGAGCGTGACTCACTCCTGACTAGGGTTGTGCAGGAGTGGTTGGCGATTGGTGCCAGAGGCCTGAAAGGCTCTGAGAGGCTTTTTTTAACCTGGCGATTCATCTGGAGACTGGTGATTGGCAGGGAAGTGATCCCATGAGGTTGCGATTGTGGAATTGGATCAGGATCCCCAATTTCCAAGCAGCGGAGTACAGGGTGATGTGGCGCTGCACTGACTTTGTCAGTTATTGGCACCTGGGAGTCCGAATTCGTTGAATCCGTCAGTTGGGGGTGAAGCACCTCAGGGTAATTTGCTGAATCACCAAGTTTCAGGTAATTTGGTACGTGGGAAAACTGGATATTGTCAAGAGATGAAACTGGCGAGATGGGGTTGACCAGTCAGCCATAGCCAGGGTCTCATGCATCTTCTTCAAAGTTGACCCTGAAGTAAGTGTGTTCCATACTCCATCCTGTGTGGCGATTCTGGGTCTATTTTTAGAATAGTGAAATTTGGTTTGTCTGTCAGGTGACAGTTGAAAATCGAAATCCACACTGTGGGACAGCCATATCCAACTTTCCCTACCTACCTTCTCTGACTTCTACTAACCCTGTTTAACCTTCTTTCTGACTCGTATTTCATCTGTGACTGCTTTACAGTATTGCGATTGACACTGTGTAGTGAATTGGTGAATTCAGGGTCCTGTCTTCAGTGATAATGCAAATTTAAATTTTGCGCTGACATAGCTAAGGCTAGGCTAGACTAGGGTCAGTCATAACTTTGATTTTGTCCGTCAAAATTCAATTTTGCCAGTCCGTGGTAAATCGCAATTCAGTATTCAGTCAATGTCTGAAATCGCACATCCAGATTTGATGTTATGAGTCAGCTACAGTGAAAATTGTCATTCGCCATACCCAGGGTATGGCATACAGGGTCATCCAGTGGTGAAGTCTGTAGGGTAGGTCTAAAAATAGGGTAACCTGCAAATCGCTGCACCTTGGTCATCAGTGGACACCTGGCTAACCCTAATTAGTCACTCTGTCTAATTACTAATCAACACTAGTCAGTCCAAGACTGCATCCTGTTAATTGTTGAAGCAGGACTTGCAATTATTGTATGCAATTGTTGTGTCAGGGCAGGGATGGGAAAATCGTGAAATTGATTTTTGCCTGAGTGGACTCTAAACTGACCCTGACCCTCAAGCGGTCTGCTGAGACTGAGCACGCACTTGCTCAAAACTAACCAATCTTTTCTCTCCAGGCAGGTGACAACAATTGAGTGAGTACTGAAGGGAAACCTCAATTCCTGTTACCTCCTGCACTGTCTTTGATTGTTGGTTTATTGTTATTTATCTGTATTGTGGGTGGCCAAAATGGCTGATTCTGGGAAAGCAGAAGTGTCTAACCAGGCTGAGACTTCTGAAGAGAAGCCTCAGGTACAACTGAAGATATCAGTACAGCCCCAGACACCGGTTCTGCTTGACCCTCTAGAGGCTGAACTGCGGGGCCAGGAGGAGATACTCCGCTAGCAGGCCCAGGAGGAGATACTCCGCCAGCAGGCCCAGGAGGAGATACTCCGCCAG